AGGTGGGTCTCAAACCCGCGGGCTCAGGCCATCCCCTCACCTCAGCCTCCCAAAGGTGCGGGATGACAGGCTAGCCACCGAGCCCGGCGAGCCCGGCTTTTTTAAAGCTTTCAGTTGGAGTCTCACTCTGTCGCCCAGGCCGGGGTGCAGCAGCACGGTCACAGTCGCCCCGGCGTCGACCTGCCAGGCTCCGGCGATCCTTCCGCTCAGCCTTCCAAGTAGTCGGAACTCCAGGTGTGCGCTGCCACACCCGGCTACTTTTTGATGTATTGTAGAGACGAGGTCTCGCCAAGTTGCCCGGGTGGGTCTCAAACCCGCGGGCTCAGGCCATCCCCTCGCCTCGGCCTCCCAAAGCCCTGGGATGACAGGCTGAGCCACCGAGCCCGGCCTGTTGTTGTTATTGGTGAGAGTCGCCCTGCCAGGCGCTCCCGGCTATTACCAGAGCACCTAGTGCAGCGCCTGCAGATAGGAAGTGCTAAGGCGGCGGGAGTTGATGTGCTCAACCACCGTGCTGAGCTGCCTTCCTGGTCAGGGCTAGAGACAGCACGGACACAAGACACGCAGGAAGTGCTCTGTCCCCTGCCAAGGGTATCCAGTAGCCTCGAGACTATGCCACTGAGCTGTGGAAAGGAAAGGGGCCTATCTAGGCAAGCTTCCCGGAGGGGGTGGTGTGGGGACCGGAGATGGGTCTGATGTTCCAGGTGAGAGGATGGACTTTGTTCAAAGAGGTGGCCACCCAAACAGCCGATTCCATGGTTTCACTGGCGGGGACTTCTGGCTCTCAGGGAGACAGCTTTTCCTATGGCAGACCCTGAAGACATGCAGTGCAAAAATGAATAGATGCTCCTTCCTGGGCCCCAGGAAGCAACGCCCTGGCGGGGACAAGCGGGGGTGTGAGATCTGGGCGTTGTTTGTCCCTGTTTGCACAGCCGGCCTGGAGGGGCAGGTGGTCAGGGCAGGATGCTGCAAAGCTGGGTACAGATCCATCGCACACACTCCAGTGCTGGCTGCTGCAAATTCTAAGGCCACAGGCCAAGATGACAATAAGCTTTAGTTTTCCACCCAGTAAATTTCGGTCATGGCCCCGCATGGTGGCTCAAGCCTGTCATCCCAGCACTTTGGGAGGCCGAGGCAGGAGGATCGCTTGAGGCCAGGCATGTGAGACCAGCCTGGGCAATATCGCAAGGCCCCACCTATTATTTTTAAAAAATGAATGTAAAACTTGGCAATTCATCGTTCCTTGGCATCCTGGTCCTCTTGCCCTCCCTCCCAAGCCCTCTTAAACCCAGGTCTCACTTGAGCGTATAACCTGGGAAGGCTCCACCATCAGCGTGTTGTAGGTGATGACACTAAGGCTCAGAGAAGCTGTGCGACTTACCCAAGGCCACACAGAGGCGGCCTCAGAGCCAGGACTCCAGCCAGGACTTCTGACTGGTCTGCAAAGAGCTCGTGAGGTCGTCTCCCAGGAAGGACTGTCATCTCCTCAGCTGCCAAGAGGAAAGAATAGTAATGTCTCCCTGGGGCTGGCGTGAGGTTCAACGGAGGCAGTGGATGTGAAAAGAGCATGTAAATCGTATATTTCCCGCAGGCGTGAGAGTCTGTTACTGTGGTAACCGCCTGGCATTTGTGGACCACATTGGCCCCGGATAGCAATAGTTACGCTGGCATTTTAATTTAATAGCATTGTTATTTTCCATCATAAAAAACAATATGCATTATGCATATGTCCAAACTCATCAAAATGTATAAATACATGCAGTTTTTATATCGATTATACCCCCGTAAAGCCATTAAAAATGAAGGCTTGCCTTCATTACAGAACATCTAGAAAACATAAAAAGGAGAAAGAAGAGGAAAAAATGTGTTATTTCAACTTCCTAAAACCAAATCTGTTAACACTTGGGAGAATTTCCTTCCAGCTTTCTCCCCATCGCTGTTTGCTTATTTACCATGGCTATGATCACTGGTCTATATGATTACAGGCATTTTATATACGATTTTATGTCCTGTTCTTTTCGCCTTAGGAGGTTTTGACATGCAGTAGGAGCCGGTGCCATCTCTGGGACCCCAGCACAGCTTCAACCCAGAGGCAACCAGGGGTCCCTGGGCTGGGACGGGGTGCCCCATAAAGGGACAGTGTCAGGGCCGCCGGGACCCGTCCCCATTCCCGACTCCATGCCGGGTGGGCACTCGCACGTTCCCACAGGGCTGCCTTCCTTGTCTCGTCCTCCTAAGTTTAATGACCTCTGCATCTGTCTGGATGGAGAAATATGTCCCATCCGTCCTCCTGCGTCTAATCACCTGCTGTCTCTCCTGCGTGCTCTCGCCGTCAAAGCTGGCATTTGCCCGTGGCTCAGAGGGCCAGGCAGGTCGGGCGCTGCCTTGGAAGGGCCTGTACTGGAAAAAGAAACTTCATTTGTTGGGTGGATGTCTCTGGCATGCCGACCGTGTGTAGGCACCCTTTGGGGCCTTGGGCCCACAGGACCGAGACCCCCGCCCTCAGGAGCTTACGGTCTAGCGGGGGAGGCAGCCTTGTAGAATATAGGGTTAGGCTTGTGGGAGGCAGGGGCCCTGGGCGGGGACTTCGGCATGTGCACGGCAGTTTGAACAAGGGGTCCCGGTTGTGCAGATGCAGAAGGCAGCCGCCGAGTGGAATCTGAAGAACGGGAAGGAGCGGTGCCGATGTCCCAGGGAAGACCACACCAGGCCGAGGGGACTGTCTGGCAGGGACTTTTGAGAGGCGGCAAGGAGTCTGGAGTTTGGAGGGATCACGGCGGAGAGTAGCACATGAGTCTGGGGGAGGCCGGGCAGGTGCAAGTTCCCTTTTGCTGAGTTAAAACCAGGAGACCCTGCGCATGCAGCAGTCGACATTTCACTCTCGCATCTGCAGGCTCCGGGATCTGGACTTGGCTGGGCTTGCCCCAGTCTGCGTGTCCGAGGGCCCGGCTGGAGCCTGGGTTTGGCTGGTGGCTCGGCCACATGCAACCCTCCCGCTCCGTCCCCAGGGACCTGCGGGCTAGCCTGGGCAAGTCCTTCCCTTGGCAACAGATGGCGACCCCCGGTGTGTTATCCCCCTTCCAGTCTGCCCGTGGCTTGTCGACTGCCGTCCCGCGGGCCCAAGCAAATCAGGCCCGCAGCCAAGGCGGCGGGGATGTAGGCAGGCAGGTCGCCTGGCCCAGGCTGGGAGGCACGGCCCACACAGGTGCAGGACTGGGCGAGGCTCGGCTCCGGATGTGGTCTGCCTGGGGCGGGGGGCGCTGGAAGGCCGCTCTGAGAGCCTTGCCTCACTCTGAGTGTACAGCGGAGGGCGACTCGTGCCGTGGTCAGTCCTGGGCGTTCCCAGTCTCCGTCCAGTGCCATGGTCAGTCCTGGGCGTTCCCAGACTCCGTCCAGTGCCATGGTCAGTCCTGGGCGTTCCCAGTCTCCGTCCAGTGCCATGGTCAGTCCTGGGCGTTCCCAGTCTCCGTCCAGTGCCATGGTCAGTCCTGGGCGTTCCCAGTCTCCGTCCAGTGCCATGGTCAGTCCTGGGCGTTCCCAGACTCCGTCCAGTGCCATGGTCAGTCCTGGGCGTTCCCAGTCTCCGTCCAGGCCAGGGAGATGGCGGGAGCCATCTGGAGCCCGCGGTGTTGGGTTCGTGTCTTCATCGGGGGCAGGAGCTGCCGTCCCCCGAGAGGTGGGTGCTTAGAGGAGGAGGTCGCCGAGGGATGGGCGTTCAGATTTGGAGCCCACGGAGGGTTGTGAGCAGAGAGACGCACTGACCCTGGAGTTTAGCCCCCACCTGGCCGCTGTAAGAGCAGAGCTGGGGGCAGAGGGGCCTGCTGAGTGCCTGCCCAGGGCTGCCTGAAGGAATGGTCGGATCCGTGGCGTGTTTGCAAGTAGATCCGTGTTGCTAAAGCCAGGATCAGAGATTTTGGAGCCCGCAGAGTCCAGGCCAGGAGTGTGGGAAGTGACGGCGGTCCCACTCACGGGGTAGGCCCGGCTGTGCTCCTGTCAGCCGCTGCTGCTTGGGCTTAGAGGGACGGTGTTCTGGAAACTTCTGTCTTCCCAGACATCCTGGAAATGTGGGTTTTTATAGGAAACGTGCTTTTCAAATAATAGGGAGGAATTCAAGAATAAAAGTCGTTTTGAAGCTCCGGTAAAACAGGTCGGTGGCATAGCCCTCGGGCTTTGAGTTGGCAAGCAGTCCTCCGGCGTGGTCTCAGCCCTTAGGAGGGATGGGTTTCTTCCACCCAGGCCAGGTTCCTGTCCTCCCCCTGCCCTCCCCGATCCCTGGGCTGGCCCCCTGGAATGTGTGGGCCAGCCTTCTCTGTGACCCGTAGAACCTGAGAATGTTGATGACGGGGGGTTGTTTCCCTGGGTCCCAGATGCAAAAGCTGGGGCCTGGAGATGGGGCAGTCAATCCTCTCCAAACCGTTGCCTACGCACAAGGGCCAGCCCTGGGTGTCAAAGACTCCAGTACTGGGGCAACCCCACAGCAAAGGTTCCTGAGCACCTTGAGGAAACGTGGCAGGGAGGGAGGACAGGGGAGACGGAGGATCGGGTCCGGGGGCCTGCAGAGCTGAGCCCGGCGTTCCAGGAGCACAGACTGGGGAGCGGTCCCGGGGGCCTGCCTGAAGGCGGGGCCGCTCAGCTGGTCTCGGAGGGGAGGGGCTCACTCCCCCCAGCCTTGCTGCATGTGATGTCCTGAGCGGGTGCCTGGCAGAGGAGTGTCTTGTTTGTCGACACAGGCACTGGGAAGGGGTGGCCTTTCTGAGGCTGACGCAGCACAAGGGCCTGGTGGGGTGCAAGACCCAAGGACGAGGCCACGTCCAGGTGGCTTCCGATGCCCCTCGGCTCCCGTGGAGGGTCCAGTCCCTGCAGAGCTGGCCGGTGACTGCCGTCACAGTGTGTGGGGGTCTGAGGCCCCCCGCCGGAAGCCTCTGCCGGCCCTGTCCTGCGCCCGCCCCGGGAATCTCAGGCTGGCTTCCCCAGGCCCGCCTCCGTTCGGGGCCTGCACTCCCCAAAGGGGTCCAGTGGAGACGCTGACGACTGAAGCCATTCTGTCCTGGCCTCGGCCTGGACAGTACGGTCCCCGTCCACTTTCCCAGGCTCCAGCATGCATGGCCTCCTCTGGAAGCTGACCCCACTCTCAGCCGGGTAGAATGGCCCTCTCCTAGCTGACCCGAGGCCTAGAGCACGGCCACCTGGCTGCCGCGGGGCCCAGCGGGCTGAGGGTTGGGACGGGGAGGGGCGGGCACCCTATCACCTGCTCAGCAGACGGGGGGAACCCCTCGGAAGAGGCCAATGGGCCCCTCCTCAAGGCTCCCGACCCCTCGGGCGCTCCTCTGCTTCCTGGGGCCCCCGGGAGCACCGTGCTGTGGAAGTGCTCAGCGCCCGGGGAGGCAGGTCCTCACAGCCATCACCCGTGTCTCGCTTTGCCCTCGCAGCTGATATCATCTCCACCGTCGAGTTCAACCACACCGGAGAGCTGCTGGCCACGGGCGACAAGGGCGGCCGGGTTGTCATCTTCCAGCGGGAACCAGAGGTTTGAGGCGCTGGGGTCTGATGGGAGGCGGAAGGGGTGGGTGCTGGGGTCTGGAAGGGGCGTGATCTGAATGGGCGCCATCTGGGTGTGACAAGTCTGGAAGGGGCGTGGTCTGGGATGGAGCATGTCTGGAGGGGGCGGGGTCTGGAAGAGGCGTGGTCTCAGATGGAGCATGTCTGGAAGGGGCGGGGTCTGGAAGGGTCGGAAGGCGGGGACTGCGCTCCGATTGACAGGCAAGTGTTCGTCCCACAGGGTGCCGCAGGGCATCCTCTTGTGATTGGGCCTCAGGGACAACTGCCCTGCCTGCACCACAGGATCCCTGGGGAGTCAGGGAAAGGGATGCTCCAGGCTGCAGGCCCCGGGCTGGGGGCAGAGGTGGGAGCCCACCAGGTGGGCAGGCAGAGCCGTGTTCTGAGCCCTCCCCTTGGCAGATGTTTGCGGCTTGCTCCCATGTGCTGTGCTCTGTCCTAGACCCCAGCGGACCCACCGGGATGGGGCAGAGCCACGGCAGAGAGGGAGGGAGGATCCGCTCTTGGCCAGCTGTCAGTGGCCCGTGGCTGGGCTGGGGGCTGGGTGGTTTGGCTGCGGCGTGGGCTCTTGCGCCCGTCCCCAGCCCGTGGGATTGGCTGTCCAGCACAATTTTGGGTGAGACAGAGTGCCTGGGACAGCCCCCCCGGGGGCACGTTTCTGAAACACTGAAAGAACCTTGGGATACAAGTCTCCCGTTTACCGAGCCCCTGCTGCAGTCGGATGCCTGGCCGAGTATGCCGGTACTGTTCTCACTGACTCATCGCTGGTCGCCTGAGTGGGTCGGAACCCACACCCCATCCTAGAGGAGACTCAGAGGCGCCCCCCACCTGGTAGACCAGGGACAGAAACCCGGGCGATCCTGGGACTGTGGTTTGTCACTGACACACCAGCTGGCCTCAGAGAGGGGCGTCGCCGCCAGCAAAGGTGTGCTGGGGTTAGATGTGGAAGACATCCCAGAAGCCCAGGAGGAGGGAAGAGGGGGAGAAGGAGCAGAGGAGGGGAACCGGGAGACCAGAGGAGGGGAGAGGCAGGAGGAGGAAACGGGAGGAGGAGGGGAGAGGGAGAAGGGGCACTGCACAGTCGCCTTCCTCTCCCGCACTCCCAAGCACGTCCTCACAGCTGGCGCCCCTCCTCTGGCTCTGCCTCTCCCTCACAGCCCTCCCCACGGCCCTGGTGGTGGAGCCATCGCTGCTGTCATTTCTCTCATTTCACAGATGAGAAGACCGGAGCGCTGAGGGTTTTAAATAGCTGGCCAAGGACACATGCCAGCAGCTGCAGATCCGTTATCCGAGCGTGACCCTCTGGCGGGTGCTGTGGGTTTCACGACACGGACAGAGCGTCCCACCAGGGGCTGCAGGGCCGGGCCTCCCTTTAGCCAAATTTCAGAGAGAAGCTAAATTGGGAGACGCAAGTTTCTCAGCTTTGAATTTTTCTCCTTTCCTTCTTCCTTCTTTCCGATCCCGCTGACCTCTCGTGGGAGAGGAAGTGAAGTAGAGGCAGAAAACACTGAAGAACTTTAAAGCTTTCCAAAGCAAGACAGGGATAGGAATATAAAAATAGATGCTTTTGAAAAACTAACGGAAAAACTTTAAATCGTGCTGGGTTGAATGTCTCCGTCTGTTCCTGGTTGGAGTTTCATGTTGTCCTGTAGGCTAGAATTGTCCCCCGAGAATGTGGCCTCTGGAGCATTCAGGGGTCCCCTACCTCGCTATCTTGGGGGTCCACCAGAAGGGTATCTGCTACAAGGAGCTCTGTCGCCTAGACCAGTGTGGGAAAGTTGGGAGACAGCATTCGAATTCAGACATTGCAGGAGATTCTGGCCCAGTATAAAATCTCCGCCCAAACTCACTTATTCCTCGAGCCAGGCCTGAGGGCACACCCAGGAGCAGATCAGGGCGAGAGACGGGAAGGTGGTCGGAGTCTCGGCCTTGGCGCCAGGCCTCAGCACAGGGAGGACGAGGAGTGGGCATATGGCTTTTGGCGGTCACCTCCCTCCGAGCCTCCCTCCACGGGCCCGCCCGTGAGATGGGGAGAGGCAGGATACCCGCTGCAGAGGAGGCCTGGAGGTTGAGTGGGATGACGCGTGGACGCGCTGAGCCCGGCGTCCGGCACACAGTGGGCGCTCGGGAAACACGGGCCGCTTGGGTGCTGTTCCTGCTTGGTGGACTGATGGGAAGGCGGAACCTGGCCCCTGAAAGCGGGGGCTTCCTTCGACCCTGGAGTCGGACCCCCGGCCCAGCCCGGCGCCAGGTGGCCACGACGGTGTCGGGCCTCTGAGGTCTGGGCCATCGCTCTGGCCAGCCGCCACGCTCAGGCCCCTCCCCGGGCTTTCCCCACAGAGTAAAAATGCGCCCCACAGCCAGGGCGAGTACGACGTCTACAGCACGTTCCAGAGCCACGAGCCGGAGTTCGACTACCTCAAGAGCCTGGAGATAGAGGAGAAGATCAACAAGATCAAGTGGCTCCCGCAGCAGAACGCTGCCCACTCGCTGCTGTCCACCAACGGTGAGGCACGCCCTGGCCGCGTGTGTGCATGTGCGTGTGCGCGTGCACCCCTCTGCGCACGCGGGTCAGGGCTTGGGTTGCGGCGGTTTGCACCAGACGCTGCTTTCTGCTTCCCTTATCTTGGGAGCATTTTTCTGCATCTTCCAAGCTCTGGAAAGATAGCATCTCCAGCCGTATGTAAATCCCGTAAGTGGACGTGCTGGGGCTTCCTTGCGTCTCCCCGTGGCTGGATGTGGGGGTTACCCCCCCATTGTGCGTGGTGCCGTCACAGCCGTCTGTCTGACTCCATTCTTAGGGCGAGGGAGCGTGGCAGAGGAGGGGCCGGGTCAGCAAACGCAGGGGATGCTTGACACAACTGAACTCTTCCTTCCCACCCGAATCCCAGAGTCCCCTGACTGGGGCGGTCACCCGAGGCCTTGGGGGGCAGTGGGAGTAGCGATGGTGTGGGACCCTGGCCGGCCTCTTCATGCTTCTGCCTTGGGGAGAGACGTGCCCCTGCAGGCCCCCTGGAGGCTCTCGACCGGACGCCTGCTTCCGCGGGCCCCACTGAGGGTGTAGCTGGGCCGTCCTGCTCAGGGGCAGCGGGCTGGGGCCGGTGGCCCGTCCTCCTCCCACTCAGCCCCCAGGAGTCAGAGCAGCCTGGCATCCGGGCAGGACACACCTGGATTCTGTCCCTGCTCTGCGACCTCGGGGAAGTGGTCTTTCCTGAGCCATAGCAGGGTGGACACAGTCCCTTCTGGGATTGTGGAGGGATGGCAGCCACCCAGGAACCACAGAACATACAGGAGAAGCTGAGACCCATTCTGCTGAAAGTATTCCGAGCAATCGAGAAACACAGAACTCTCCCCAAATTATTTTATGATGCTGACATTACCCTGATACCCAAACTGGGTGCAGAGCCCACAAAGAAAGAAACTGCAGGCCCATATCCCTGATGAACATAGATCCAAGAATTCTCAACAAGGTTCTAGCAAATCAGATCCAACAGCACATCTCAAAAATCATGCGCCATGACCACTGTGGGTGGGACTGTAAATGAGCACAACCTCTGTGGGAAACAGTGTGGCGATTTCTAAAGGAGTTAAAAATAGACCTTCCATTCGACCCGGTGAGCCCCTTCAGGGAATAGTTCCGGAGGAACTTAAGTCATTCTCCCAAGAAGATACCCCAGGACAGCCGGTGCTGTCCCAGCAGGATGGTGGCTGACAAGACCCTGCGGCACCTGAGCCAGTGGACCTTCCCCTGTGGGAGCAGGAGTGGGCATACGGGTTTTGGAGGTCACTTGAGGCCTCATTCACGTGTTGTTTTTACAGGCTGGCCAGGCGCAGCAGCTTACGCCTTTGATCTCAGCATTTTGGGAGGCCAAGGCGAGAGGGCGCCTTGAGCCCAGGAGTTCGAGATGAGCCTGGGCAACACAGCGAGACCTTGTCACCAAACACGAGAAAAAGATTAGCCAGGCATGGGGCGTATGCCTTTAGTCCCAGCTACTTGGGAAGCTGAGGCAGAAGGATCACCTGAGTTCAGAAGGTCCAGGCTGCAGTGAGCCATGGTCAGACCACTGTCCTCCAGCCTGGGCAACAGAGTGAGACCCCGACTCAGAAAAAGAAAAACTTTAAAAATGGCACGTGTAAGAGGGACACGTCACTTCTTCCTGCTTCTCCAGTCCCGTGTCTCATAAAACTTCCCACCTTGAATACCAGCTCCCCTCTCTCCTGGTGGCGTCTCTCAGAGGCTTTAAGGGTGCCAATTTTCTACCCAATTTCTTCTCACGAATATGCGGGTATCTGTTTTGGCTACTGAAATAGAGTTCTTCAGAGAAACAAAACCAGTAGGGTGAGAGAGAGAGAGACTGATTTTAAGGAAGTGGCTCCTGTGACTGTGGGGGCTGGTAAGTCCAAAATCTGCAGGCCAGCCGGCAGGTGGAGGGAGACCCAGGGAAGAGTCCCAGGTTGTGTCCAAAAGCCAGCTGCTGGCAGAATCCCCCTTCCCCCGGGAGGGCCACCTTTATCCAGCTGACTAATGTGGACATCTGTCCTCTGCCCTGCCGGCTCATTCCGTGCCTTGCTTGACTTTGTTCTGCTTTTAAAGATAAGACGATCAAATTATGGAAGATCACGGAGCGAGACAAAAGGCCCGAGGGTTATAACCTCAAGGATGAGGAAGGGAAACTTAAGGACCTCTCCACAGTGACGTCGCTGCAGGTGAGATGCTGGGCACAGAAGGCTCGGCGTTTGGGAAGGGCGCTTACTCTTCGTTCGTTAAACAGTGAGGATTAGCCGGGCTCGGTGGCTCAGCCTGTAATCCCGTGCTTTGGGGGAGGCCGAGGTGAGTGAATTGCCTGATCCCACAGGTTCGAGACCCGCCTGGGCAACTTGGCGGGACCTCATCTCTACAGCAAATAAAAAATGAGCCGGGCGTGGTAGCGCGCGCCTGTAGTCCCAGCTACTCGGAAGGCTGAGGTGGAAGGATCGCTGGAGCCCAGCAGGTCGAGGCCGGGAGCGGCCACTGCACTCCAGTCTGGGCGATGGAGTGAGACTCCAACTCAAAAAAAAACCAAAAAAAAACTGAGGGTTTTAGACTCCAGGGACCTTTGAGATTCAACCCAGAGTCAGGTTCAGATCCCGTCTGGGCTGCTTCCACATTGGGAGGCCATGGACATCTCCCTGCTCCATGCCTCCGTTTCCTCTCCAGCAAAACAGAGAAGGTCATGTTTCTTCTGGGAGTCTTGTGACCATGAGGTGTGGTGGTGCATGTCTGCAAAGTGCTTTCGCCTGCAGCGGAGGGGGGAGAGAAAGTCAGAGAATCCCCTGTTGTACAAGTGGGGAAACGGAGGCCCAGAGAGAGGCAACAACTCACTGCTCAGCTGAGTGAGTGGCAGAGTCAGGAGAATCGGTCAGTGGAGCTTTGTGGATTGGAAGCCTGGAGGACAAAGGCCCAGCACAACTTAGCTGGCTCACACAGTGCTTGGCCTCACGGGAAGAGATTTAGCAGGCACACACGGGCTGCATGTCCAGCGAGGTGTCATAGCATAAAGCGGCGATCAGTGTTGTTCCTGAGACGAGACGCCGATATTCCAACACATTGGCCTTTCAGTAATGGGCAGATCGCACAAAGAAATTCCAAGGAAGCAGGGAAGCCAGTTAGCTTTGATGTAATGAGGGTGAGGTTGCCCCCGCCTCACCCCCAGCCCCAAGAAAGTGTACGAGGGTTTCTTCTGGAGGTGGGGACGCAGTGATGACATCTTGATTGGCCTGGTGTTGGCCTCTGGGAATCCGATGTATTTCCCTCCCAGTGTCAGAGTTTGTGCTCTGTAAGTCACGCACAGTCCAAGACACTTGACTACGAACTGAGGCTGAAGGAGGCAAAGGTGGAAAGAGCGGGTGTCCTGGTCTGTCCTCGTCTTGTCTCTTGCCTTGTCTGTTTCCCACTTCACACGAGCCACGCACCCCTGCCCAGCTTCCTGTGAGAGACAGAGAGACAGCCCAGAGGAGATGCCTGGCGCCCCTAACGCGTCCCCAGCACACTGGGATGGGAGCAGACCACAGCCGCAGGGTTGGTCAGGGCTGTGACAAGCGGCATTCAGGGCTGTGGAGCCCGGCGTCTAATGCCCTCACGGCGACTCCTCACCCGGCCCTCTGAGATGAGAGCTTGTATGCGTCAGGCCAACTCTGGTGGTTGTGACAAACATCCCCGTCAGTCCAGAGTTGAAGGAGAAGAGTATTTCCCACTGCAGAAAGGTCCGGTGTGGAATTCCTCCCACCTCGTGTGCCCCCACCCCCAGGGCCTGGGTCCTCCTCACCCTCCAGGTGGAGCAGGCACACGGCCGCCAGCACCAGGCATCACGTTGCTCACGTCTCTTTGGTCAGAACTGGTCACGTGGCCATGCCAGGTGCAAGGGCTGCTGGGAAACGTAGTCTGCGTCTGGGCCACCACTTCCCAGTGACAGCACTACGTCGTAGGAAGGAGACACGGACAGCTGGCTGGCTCAGTCTTGGCGTCTCTCCATTCCATTGCATTCCATTTTAGAGGTGAGGAAATTGAGGTGCAGAGGGGTTCTGGCACTTCTCCCCAGACACATGGTGGGCAAGCGTCCAGGCCAGGGCTCGGGGCCCATCCCAGGCATGCGAGGGAAGGAGGGCAGCCTTTCCTGCAGGGCTGGGCAGGCAGTGGGCGCGTGCCATCTGTCGCTGCCTGTTTCAGACCATGAGGACCAGGATGGACACCCGGCATAGATCACGGGCCCCTGTGTGCCATCTCCCGATGCAGCCCCCCGGCCCGCCCGGTGCCCTTGCCTCCCACTGTGTTGCCCTGCTCTGACCCCGCCCCTCCCATCGCAGGTGCCCGTGCTGAAGCCCATGGACCTGATGGTGGAGGTGAGCCCCCGGAGGATCTTCGCCAACGGCCACACCTACCACATCAACTCCATCTCCGTCAACAGCGACTGTGAGACCTACATGTCTGCGGACGACCTGCGTATCAACCTGTGGCACCTGGCCATCACCGACAGGAGCTTCAGTATCCTTGGTCGCGGCCCCATCCCGTCCCCACAGGGCGCGGGGCTCGCGGTGGCGGGGCGGGGGCCTGCGTGGGCGGCCGGCCGCTCAGCTTGGAGCCTTCTTAGACGAGGCTCCTTTGGGCTCATAGTCTGCGTGGGAGGCCCGGGCGTGGACTCAGATGTCGTGTCTGTTTCTGAGAACTGTGCCGTCATAGCTGCTGAGAGTTGCGTGTGACCCTCTGCCTCCTCCGGGGTGGCCGTGCTCCCTGTCATCCTGGGGCCTCCCCAGGAATTAGAAAGGAGACAGGAAGTCCAGGGTGCAACTGCCCTGGAGGGGGGACGGCGGATGCCCCCAGACAGTTGGCTGGAAGTCCCTTGGGCGCTCCCCCTGGGGCTCCAGGCAGGTCCTGGCAGCGAAAGTGGAACAGCACTGGGGCCCTGCCCAGGGCTCAGAGTGACAACCAGGGTGTCAGAAGTCCAGCTAGATTGGGGTCACCGGGGGCCCCTATTCAGTGTCTCCTGTGTCAGGACGGGCTGGGGACAACAGCACGAACCGTCCCCCACCAACCAGTGAGAAAATAACCGGTGATGTGTGAGCACTGGCCGGGGGGACAGCGTAAGGCTTGGCCTACCAGGGGCTGCGATGGACAGGGCAGGCAGGTTGTTAAGATGTCACTATTCCGCAGAATAATAACAACAACAACAACCATAATAATACCCAGCGAGGCTCTGGTGTCAGACTCTGTGCTTAGCACGTGTTAATTGTAACTCATTTCATCTTTACAAAAATCCTATAAGATAGGTACTATCCTAATCCCCCTTTGCGGATGAAGAAACCGAGTCACAGAGAGCCCAATTTACTCGGAGCTCACAGCTTGCAGGTGTCAAAGCTGGGACTGGCACAGGCCTTCTGGTTCCAGAGTCTCACATCTAACCCCTGCACCAACCCCGCCCCGTGTGACGGATGTCACCAGTGTGTGATGGAAGGGGAAAACCCTCAAGCAGCCAGCGTCTCCCAGCACTGGGTGGCCCTGGGCACCCAGAGCTGAGATGACTCGGCCCTGCACACGCAGCTCCAGGCAGAGGGGAGGTTGCACCTGCTACTGCCACGGCTCCTTGGCCAGGAGTGCCCGTGTCCCTTGGAAACGAAGCCGGGACTGGTTGGGGGCAGGAGGGGCCAGGAGGGGCCAACCCGGGAAGGAAGAAAAGAGGGTCACAAGTGGCTTTTGGGGGCCGAGAGCCAGGAGGGGCCAGACCCCTCTGGGCAGGGAGACCCTCCAGAGCCAAGAAGAAGGAAGCTGGAAGGTTTCAAGCTCAAGTGTCAGATGTTCTCTGAGCCAAGCCAGAGGGCGCGGGGGCACGCCCTGTGTGAGCCTGGCTGCCGCCTTCAAGCCCCTCGGGTGAGTCTCCTCTCCCCTCTGAGCCTCGCCTCTGCGGTAATCCCTCCCTCGCAGAGCTGTGGGGAGCTCAGCCAGGGAGTCCCTTGTGTGATTTGCCCACCACTGAGTCAGGACTTAGTGGCTGTCAGAAGACACTGAGCACCTGTCTCCTTTCCCCTGCCTCAAAGGAGTGGGCTGCCCAAGCCTGGAGGCTGGATTAGGATGGTCGGGAGCGTTCCAGAAAGAGCTGGGACTGGAGCTGCTTTGAGAGACTGAAGCTCAGGTTTGGCAGGACGTAGAGGGCTGGTTGGGGTCTGTCTGACCCCCCGTTCAGGCTCAAAGTCCAGTGGGCTCTGCCCACCCACAGTGCTCAGAGCATCGGCTGGCCAGGACTCTTTCTGCTGCAGGGACACTTGCCGACTTACGTGGGCTTCAGGCATGGGTGGACTCGGGCTTGAGTGGCGCTGGAGGCGGTCCTCTAACGGAGAGCTGGGCAGGAGACGGCTCCCGGCTTCAGCCTCTGCTCTGCCCTGGCCTCAATCCCAGCCTCCATGTGGTGGTCACTTGGTGCCAGCAGCTGGCCCCCGTCCTCCCAGGATAGAGTCCAGGAGAAACGAGACCAGTTCTCTCTGAACAGTCCTGCCGCCCCCCTCGATGGCACCCGATTGGCTCCGCTTGGGCTTCAGGGGCACCCTCTGAGCCAGTCACTGTGGGGGCATGCCTGGGGTAGGGAGAATGCAGTGCTCTGATTGGCCAGGCCAGATTCCGGCACCTCTCCCTGGTGCTGGAGGGAGTCAGCTTCCCCCCAGCTCAGTGGGTGCCCGGGTGAAGGGGAAGGCGGTCCTCTAACGGAGAGCTGGGCAGGAGACCCCCGGGGGAGGGCATGGGACTCACAGAGCTTCCTGGACAGTGCTTCACAGTTCACAAGCCCATTTGCCATTCCTCTCACCTGGCGCTCCAAGACGGCGGCAGTGTTGTGGTCATCCCTTCTACAGAGGAGGAGACGGAGGCTCAGGGGAGTGGGGCGTGCGGTCAGAGTCCCCAGCCGGCAGGGACAGAGCTGGGGCTTGGGCTCAGTCTCCATGGTCTGGCCCCGTGCTTTTGCTCTGCCCTTGGCTGCCCGCTGCAGCACTGGGTGGTGAAAGCACCCTCCTCGAACCTGAGCTTCCTTACCGTGGCGCTTGGGTGGTGACAGGAGCCCCTGAACCATTTGTCTCTGGACTGCTGTAAGGATTCAGTGGCTGGAACCCAGGGTCCGTGCCAGCTGCCGTGGGGGCCCCAGAGGTGAGAGACTGAGATCCAGGTAGGAGGCCCCCTGGCTCCAGGAGGGTGGAAGGTGCCGGGGCATCTGAGGTGGCCTGGCCAGTGGTGCAACCTTCTCCCAGCCGGGAGTGGAAGGCCTTCTTCCAGCATGGGGCTCCGAATGCCAGTCACTGGCAACGCAAGACGCCGTCACAAGTGCGACCGTCTGGATGCCATGCACTCTTTCGTTTACATTCTCCATGTCCCCCCATTTTTTGCTCATTTTCTGTAAGTCGAGTGGCTTTATTTTTGCCCAAGGAACTGTCTTTTGAAAGGGAATTTAACGTCGCCACCATGCGTAGAATAAAACATATCCCCGACCGTCAACAGGAGGGGGCCATGGAGAGACAAGTCCTGAAGGCAAGACAGCGGGCGTGGAGTCTGCCCTCAGCCCCACCCGGCGGAACTTGCCGGGGGTGCCGGGCTGGCCCTGTTTGTGCCACACTGGGCGGCGGCTGCCAGCCTCAGGCGCCCGTTGCACGCTGGGCACGGGGCCGGAATGACGGAGGAACAGCATTGTTCGCACGACTTAGTTGCAGTCCACTCAGACCAAGTTAAACGGCCGCATGTGGCTGGCGGCCACCAGCCGGACTCTGCCCCCTCCGTGCTGCCTGCTGTACCCCAAGGCGAGTTCTTCCTGCTGGGGGTCAAAGTCGGAAGAGCCCCAAGCAGAGACTTCCGCCCTCGCTTGTCAGGTCTGAATTCACCTTCTTAGCGTTTGAATCCCTGTTGTGTTGCAAAGGGTTGTGTCTCCTGCCTACCTGACTGCTTCCAGGTGACAAGAAGCAGCTACTGATGCACCATGGCCGGCTTCAGAGGGGCCGTGAGTGAGCGCCGTGGGTGGGTTGACTTCCAGCAAATACACTTGGCAGGTAGGGGACCAGCAGGGAGCCCCCGGGAGAGGGAGTGAGAGATGGGGTCAGGGCCATGAGCATTGAGATCCTAAGGACGGAGACATCGTGACTTTCTTTGGACCGAGGCGGCCACAGGACATTGGAGCCGGTTAGTTGTGAACAAGGGGGTTGATTCGTCCCAGGACAGCAGACAAAGTCTTCCGTAGTCAGTTCTGTCAACCTCACCTCCTCATCCCTCGTGAACACACTGACTGTGCCCTGTCCATATGTTGGAGGGCACGCCATTTACCGGAAGGTGTTTATTGAGTGCCTACTGTGTGCTAGGCCTTGTGCTGGATGCTAGAACCACACAGAGACAGGCCCTGCCCTCTGGGAGTGGACAGACAGATGATAAACCATCAGCGAGACGCCTGGCGTTGGAACCGGTGGGCAGTGATGTGGGGGTCGGGGGTCCTCGCCAGTGTGGCCGCGTGCATTTCTCACCCACCTGCTGCTGCCTGCAGGTGTCGGCTTGGTGGAAAGAGAGCCGGAGTGGTGGTTTTGCCAAGTGACTGTGTGGGCACAGCACCGGTGACGTGTGCACTGGAGTGAAAATGATCATTGACCCCCGGATCTGAGCCAGGTGAGGGCTAGTGATAAGGAGGGTGTGTCGGTGGCTGGGGTCCCTCGGGTCCTGGGGACTTCCCGGCTACAGGTCCTGACATAGGACTCTGCGTCCAATCTCTGTGTAGCTTCCAGCTCTGTGGAAGTGAATCATGAGCTGGTGGGCCTGTGCCCTATCCCGGCCCTTAGCAAGAGAAGAGCGTGTGTGTACAGAAGGCAGGAGATTCGGTCTTGGGCTCCAGGTGGCCCAGGCCGGCAGAGCCTGGGCATTTGGAAGGAGTTGAGCGGAGTCTCCAGGGGCACATGGTCCTTGTGGAGACCTCCCTGGACTAGAGCGCTTCGCCAGGGACTCACCCACACCTGGCTCTCCCCCGGCCGGCGGCGGCCCGGCCACAGGAGTGGCAAGACATGGACCCAGAGCAGAGGGACACAGCACACGTCCCTGGAGACAACCTCCGTGGGGGGGGGGGTGTCAGGACTGCGGGTTGCAGGTGGGCCTGATCACAGCGGAGTCGTTAGAGAAGGCGTTCCGTTTCTGACGTGGGAGGAGGCCAGAGAGGCAGCTGTGACGCCGCGTGGAGCCAGGGAGGGGCTCTGGATTTTTGAGACACCTTTTGGGCAGATGGCACCGGGGAGCATTCTGGCTGTCAGAGGGTGGCAGGTCTGATTGGTCCGCCAAGAAAGCCCAGGGCTGGAAGGGCCGCACCTGAGCAGAGGCCAGGGAAGTCGTGGTCGGCCTGGGGGTTCGCGTTCTTTTACCTCTTGCTCCCTGTGTCCTCACTTGCCCTGACGAGGCCACTCAGTCCTCAGAGTCCACTGGAGGTATTTGCTGTGTTGCTCTGTCCTTTGAGTCCAGTCGGTGACGCCTTCCGTGTCAGCAAA